GAAGCCAAAAAGTCAAATTAAAAATTAATTAAGTCATTCGCAAGCTACACAGTTCCGGCTTATACTCAACCATTTTGCAGGATCTGAATAGATCCCACGATAATTCTATGAGTGTGGTTCGCGAGGACACAAAACTTCGCTGCGCGAAACATTTCTCGCTGCGGAAATCTCAGGCCCATCGCTGAATGACTGGACCTCCCAGCGAGAAATGTTCTGCGCGAGGAAAGCGAAGAAGTCGCTTTCTGCCCTAGTGACCCACACCCCAATTCGCCGACCACCCCCAAATATGTTGAAGAAAACTTGTTGATGAACGTCAAATGCTGCTCAACTTCAAGTAGAAATTGAAAACAAGAAGTAAAGTTGCAAAATGCACCTCGCTGTTAGAGTATAAGGATTTCGCCACAATGTCCATTAGATTTTTTGTTTCCGCCTGGAATTCATGACGCTCAGCAGCTGCGTAGAAGCGTTTCTGAGTGACGACATTCCGTCGAAAAGGCGTCTCTACGACGCTCAACGGACGGACAGCCACAGCTCGTGCATGCCGAGTACTGCAAAAAGCGACACGCCTTAAAGCATGCCTGGCTGCCCACATCCTGAAACCAGATTAGTCTTTGGTGTGAGAAAACATCAAAGAAGACGTGCAAGTGATGCCGCCGAGTCAAAATTTCGAACTTTGATTCCCCGCAAAAATAATGTACACAGCTTTAATCACATGAGATGTTTGACAATGAAGTAAAACGTCGAGGAAGAGTGGAAGGACGCGGTCGAGAACGTTCGGTGATCCACCGTAGTAAGACTGACAAGTTGGCCAGCTTCAAATCGCATTTGGAATACGGTACTTTGATTTTAGTGCAGTTGCATAAAAGGCACTCTTTTAACGCCTATTTATTTGCAAGGTTCATAAAAATCGTCAGCCTTTGATACATAGGTTTGGGCAGCGGTACATGTGGTTGGGTTAGTAATTATCGCTGCTAACGGTAGTTGGGGGGGGGGGGGTTATGCGACCCCGCGGCACTCCGTTGGTGTGTGTTCTCTTCGCGGGCACGCGCAGGAAGCTAAAGTAGCTTTAGGAATTAAGCCATGAAAGGGAGGGTCTGGGGTGCGCAGTCAAATTTCATTTCCCATAAAGTTGGCCCTTACCGCTGCGCCGCCGCGCGGTCCCTTCGAATGCACTAACAACGGCTTTGCGGCCGAGAGGGCTAAGACGAACTGACTTCTCCAACTACCCTAGCGCCTTAGTTATTCTCTGTGGAGTAATAGGGTTAGAAGTTGAAGTGTAGTTGGAGGGAAGAGGGACTGTTGCAGAGCTCGAGGTATTTAATACCTTTGCAAAAATTTCCTTCTTCGATACAGTCTGGAAAGGGGATCCCATTCTGATGGCGAATCTTCACCCACCCTGGAGCCAGGGTCGGTCCTATCGTTGCTACTTTTCAAAAAGTTTTTACGACCCCCCTCCCTCATGAAATGTTTCATACGACCCCCTCTTTCAAAACAATTTTTACCCCAAAAAATTACCGTCGAGCGGGGGGGGGTATATACTTACCATAAAACCGCAAAAATTCCCTACATTTCCTGTATTTTACCCATATTTCAACTGCTCCATTTTCATCACATGCAACTTCTAGCAAGTACGACCCCCCTCTACAAAATCATCAAAATACGACCCTCCCCTTTGCTACTTGTAGCAACATAAGGTTGACCCTGGCCTGGAGCTTACCCCTCCTCCCCTTCCAATTAGAATTGCTGTACTTTTCACGAACTACTGCACTCGACTGGTGTAAAAATTATATATCTAGGATCTGTCTGAACTAGAGTGGGCAGTTGGCGCAGTGGTCCTTGCGAATCATAGTAATCTCTAATTTTTGGAAGAACGGAAGCCCCCAGGGAGGGAGGAGGGGAGAAGGGAGCATTTCGCTCATACAAAAAGTGGTAGCACAATATTGCTTTCGCTTTAACATTTATGGAGAAAATGGTAAAATTTTCCATGTTGATCGAACCCTGTTTGGAATGCGCCATGTATTCTGCTTCCATTCAGAATCTCTATATGAATGCAATTTGCTCCGTGTAGTGGCTTGCTGAGGCCATGCGATGTACAAAAGCGAGTTGTTGTATTCTCCCTTTTCTTGACTTTGAGTTTGGTTGGGTTTGAATATAGAAGAAAAAAATAGATGAAAAATAAAGTCCTGGAAGCAATTAATCTACCTCAGAGCAGGGTCAACCCTCCACCCCCCTCCCTGGATATGTAGCGATGGAAATAGAGGTGAAAGATATAGGGGAATGGGGAAAAATGAAGGGAAATACAGGGAAAATTTCGTGGTTTCAATGGTATACCCTCCCCGTTCGACGGTGTTTTTTGAGGGAAAAAGTAGTTGTGAAGAGGGGTCGTATGAAATCTGTCGTGAAGGAGGGGGGTCGTAAAATTTTGCAAAAAGTACCAACGATAGGACCGACCCTTCCTCAAAGAGACGGACGGTTTGGTTAGTCTAGGCGAAATATGCTCCGATATTTTGACCGCACATTGTAAGCGAGTATTTTTCTCTCTCACCACCGTTCACGTTTTCGAACCCTTCTGAATGTCTGGTGATGTACACTACCGGAACAAAATTAGTTCGATTCCCGAATTTACTAGTTTAGATGAGATATTATTTTTTCTTGGTCCTTTGTTGTAGCATATTTATTTACACAACAATATTCGAAATTCAATATTCCAACAAAACAACAATATCCTAAGTATTCAGCAATATTCTATTTATTCAGTTCAGTCGCATTACTTTCGAATGTCAGTTTAGACAATTCGCGTAAACAATAACACGCACAAAACACGTATCGATCGATCAAAGACAACCGCGCCGCGACAGCACGCTACGGAACAACTCATTTTTCCCTAGCTTCACCTGGGGAACACAAAAATTTGTTGATTAACACATGAATTAGATTCTGCTGCACAATGGACCTAAATACCTATACAACATCTCTATAAGTCTAACATGACATCACAGATAGTGTTGTGGAACATTGATAGATCCATTTTCTATTGAGTTTCAATATTCCTAAATTGCACCACAAAAATATTCGCGCCTAAACTCACATCTCAAATAATCGTGTGGGAACATGTATGAGACGCGCGCGTCTGCGAAGCGTTCTAGTCGGTAATGGAGCTCTACGTGCCTTAACACTGTAGGCTAACTATCAAAGTACCTTTACTTCTATCGATTAGCTAAACTATTCGTACATATAGTATTTAAGCTGAAGCAATTTTACGGTTAACAATAAATGGTTCAAATTTTTGCCCCACATTCCCTAATGAGCACTCTTTTATGATGCCTGCCTCTACAAACTGTTTTGTATGACCGTTTTCAAACCAGAACTTCGGAGTTTTGCCAAAAATCCAATTCCAGTCTGTTAGGTCAGAAAGAATTTTCGCACACTGCTCGTTCGTCTTCACCTCCTCGTCAACATCGATCTCATTGATCGGGCACTCCTGAAAAGGATAAACACTGAGCCAGGCTGGTCAAGCTGTTTTCTCTGGTGCCCCCAACATCAAAGGCAACAAAAATTATGTAAAATAACTACATAAAAATTCTTTAAAATCTAAGTTTAATATATTCGATCTCTTCACTTTCCGAAACGCGAATACGACCCACTCTCTAGTAAGAATCACGAATACGACCCTCATCTGGATCGGCCGGACGGATAGTTAAGCTTTCCGAGGCCTTGTAGAAGTGGTGGGGTGCTTCAGAGTGGGCTGGTCACTGTTACTGACAAATGCACTTATAATTTTGATGGACGGAAGTGGTGTAGTGGCAAGTGGCGCGCTTACCACGCGAGCGGTCCGGGGATCAAATCCTGGGTCGTGAGTCGCCCGGGCCAACCAAGCCTTCCATCCCTCCGGGGTCGGTTAATTGGTACCAGACTTGTCTGGGAGGATAAAAACACTGACTTGTACATCGGCTGGCCCCCGCAAGTCATTGTATAGGCCACATCGCATTCAAACGCCACTACGAATGTACAAATGGAAGTAGAATGCGTGCCGCATCCCAAAAAGGGATTGAACGGCAAATGCTTTATCTTCATCCTTGAAGAGATGCCCAGGATCAAATTGGTGTGGCTCTTGCACACGAATGCGAATGTATTGGTGCGAAGTGGGCCGGCAGTGAAAGAAAAAAGGAAAAGAATCCGTCGAAAACGCTTAGGTTAAGGGCTCACTCACCTTCCTAATCGGCTGTGCTAAGGCGAGAGACTAAGCGCACGGCAAGGCGTGTGGCTAAGTTCGTCACACTCACACTCTAGTAGTCCTTATCAACGCTATCGCTACTATCACTTTCTATCATCCATCACCCACGTGCTCACCA